TCACACACTTTGTTTTTCCTGATATATATATATATATATATATATATATATATATATATATATAAATTATATTCAATCACATGGGAAAAAAAGCCATCGCCCAAAACTTGCTGTGAAATATTGGGCAAGCCAGTGGCCCTCTCTGAATCTGAATTCCTTTCGCTATACACCGGGGCTAACATTTGTGGGTAGCTTCTCCTGTTTCTACGAATATCCCGGCTGGCTGCAATGCTTTATGTAAAAGTTTCCTGTTTGGCCCCATTTGCCGTCCCCATTTCGCACACGAGAGTCTCGGGTTCAAAGGCGGAGGCCATCTGTCCACCCTTAAGGCACCTGGAGTCTTTGGCTCCAGATTCCCGATGGCATCCTATAGGGACCAAAAATGTGGACCGGGAAGGGAAGGCGGCCTCTGACCTCACCTGATCCCGGGTGTGGGACGCGGAAGGGTGACGTTCGCGTTCAGGCCCAGCGGAGCGGAAATCCACCTCCCACTGGTGGGAGCTGTACGCCCGGAGCGCTGCGAGCCGGCTCCACGCCTCCGCGGCCGAGACCACTCATCCACCGGCAGACGGCAGACGCGGCAGCCATTTCTCCCACTGGGCCCGCCTCCGACTGACTGACGTCCAGGCTCGCCAATCACCACGCCAGCTTTCAATGACTCAGGCCAAGGGCCTAAGGAGCTCGCTGTCGAACTTGGGAGCTATGGACCAATCCTGGGCTGCTTGCTCCAGGGCGGGCACTGTTGCCAGGGTTACGGGGGCTCGGCCGGAGGTAACCAATGAGAGCCCGTGGAAGGATGTTCGCCTCGGAAACAGGAGGCCAGAGGGCGGAGCCTCCCGTGGGTCTAGGGGACTGGAAAGACCGCACCTTTCGAAGGCCAAAACGGAAAATAAAGAGCAATGTTTTATAAGGGAACCTTTTGTTTGTTGGGTATGGAACTGTGAAGCTCCGAAGACACGGATGGATGGGAAAAGGTGCAAAGGTCGCACTTCGTTCTTTGCCTTGTGGAGAAACTGAGGCCAGCAATTCCAGCCATCCAGGGGCTGAGGTAGAAAGAATGAGTTTGAAGCTAACCTTGGCAGTCTGGTAAGATGGAGTCTTAAAACAAAAAGCTGGGTGTGGTGGTACACGCCTTTAATCTCAGCGCTCGGGAAGCGGAAGCCAGCCTGGTCTACAAATCAAGTTCCAGGCTAGGCCTCTCTCAAAAATAATTTAAATTGGGAATTTGCCCACAGCGTCCCAGAAATGGCTGACATAAAAGCTAGGATTTGGGTCTCCTCCCTCCTGGTTCCCTTGTCCCTTTCCTGAACAGAACAAACAAGGCAACCTAACATTAGTGTTGCAGGTTTAGGTGGTAGGAAGAGGGCAAAGTGGTACTACACAAATTACTAACTCTGAATGTGAAGCTCCAGGTTCTATTTGGCACTACTCCCCATTAGACAACACTCAAGCTTCCTTTAAAATGAGAAGGTTTGAGGCCAGCCTGGGCTACATGAGACCTCGCCTCAAAAAACACAAAAGTGAAACAAAAACAAAAACCGTTTTATTAATGTGAATAAAAATACTTAACAGGTATTTTCTAAACAGCAGCGACAGTCAAGGGCCAGCCTCCTCCCCTCAGTTTCTTTCCAGACCCACTCTGTTTTATCCTATCCTGGGCAAGGGTTCATCTCTGTGGGGTCGATGCAATTTGACCTCTCGGGCTGCGGAAGAAAGGGGCATGACCTTTCAGTATGGAATAACTTTGGCTTTGAACAATGAATGAGCTGTCTATAGAACGCCAAATGAAGGGCTGAAAACGGGCAGGCTCAAAGGATGTCACACAGTGGGGTCCCAATCCCCTCACTTTTGAGATCTTCTTAGCCCTTACCTAGGAAGACATTGATTAAAATACTGACCTACAGCGTGACCCACCCACTTTGAAACTTCCAAGGTTTTGAGACACAGTGCACTAGTACAAACACTTCACTCATGAGCCATGGCTTCAGCAAGAGGAAAGCTGTCCCCTTCCTCTAGCTGTCCCCAGAGGAAAGGGAGGCACCCCACATCATTGAAGTCAACTGGCTGCTGACTGGACTCAGGTAGCTGTAAGGGGTCGGCCCAGATGTCCACGATTTTGCGCAGGGTGGAGCAGCGCTCCTCCAGCTCTGGCCCCTCAGTCTGCATGAGCAGGTTTGCCAGCTCCCTGCTTAGGTCCTGGATCATGTGGTTCTGACCTTGCTTTTCAGGCTGATCTGAGTTCGGGATTATTCCACGGTCCTGAAGCTCCCCATTGGGTCCAAGGAGGTGCTGGTACTTCTTCTGCCACCGGCAGCACACCATGGCTTCTCCTACTGGCTGCTGGCTGGTATGCAATAGGGCCAAAATGTGGCGGCATGGCAGATGGTAGCATTGCTGAAAGGAACAGCTGCAGCTACAGCCATCTTTGCTCACCTGGTGTGAGTCTTCTAGTAGTTTAACAGCGACCGAGGAACCAGCCACGTCCACCAGGTGGGTGGAATTCTGTACCACCTCCCACTCATTATGGCACAATTTGTAGGCTAGTTCAGAACCACTTTGGTGCAAAATGTCTAGCATGCCACTCTTGCAGGACTGATCCTGGGGCTGTAACAGTTGAGACTCCTGTGAGTCTGACTTGGTCTCTTCCACAGGGAGCCTGGTGACATTCCCTCTACAAGTTCTAAAAGGCTTCTTGGGCCTTGGTGGCATGCTTGGGAGCTGAGTTCTTTTTAACTTGGGGGAATTTTTGGGCAAGCTCTTAAGACCTTTGGTATTAAAGAAGTCTATGTAATCCACAAAGTGAAGGATGCAGTCCAGTAGGGATTGCTGCTCCCGAAAGAGGCCTGACACTTTACTGGTGACTATGTCCAAGCTGTCCATGTATGTGTTACACGCATGCAGACCCTTTCTCACATGCATGTACCACAGCAGTTCACAGGAAAACCAATGGGCCTGCAGGAACCTGAAGAGCTCCTCATCCAGTAGGGCCTGGGACATCTGACAGAGATTTTTTAGGCTTGCATCAGAAGAGACAAACACAGCCTCCCGAAGAGCTTCCTTCATGAGCCTTTTAAAGGATGCGTTTGCAGAGCTTTGATGTAACTTCTTCTCTAAGAGTCGAGTTGTGTGGTAGATAGAAAGGAGGATACGGGCAGCAGGGAAGATCTCCTGAAGAATAGCTTGGTGAGGGAATGAAGGGTCCACAAAGACCACCTTGACCTTAGACCAATCAGAGTTGAATTCTGTGAAGATATTGAGCATCTTGGCCACAGAGGTGGCTGTCTCAGCCTTGAGCACAGCGAAGTGCACCACTCGACTCTCTCGCTCTTTGTTCTCCACCAAGAAAGCATACAGAATATGGCCCTGGCTGTTCTCCACCCGGTGTAGCAAGAGATTCTCTGGGAATCGGGTGAACAAGTCACTCATCTTGCTGCTCTGGAAGCTGAGCCGGTCCAGGTCTTGGCTGGTTCCCACACTGAAGGAAGCCATCGAGCCCTCATCTACTGTAAGGAAGTTTTTCATCACTTTTGCTATCTTGGCCAGGTCGGAAGGACTGATGCCCTTCTGCTCTGGAGGTGAGGCCAAGTGTGTCTTCTCTAGGCAGAAGGATGATGGTTCTACCAGGGGCTTCTCTTCTGCATCAAGGTCTTTCTTGATGCTGAGCTGCACCGGCTGGAGTTTATGCAGACATAAGGCCTTCTGCAGTTTGCTAGCAGGGGATCCTCCAGCAGCGTTAGAATCAACATGTATGTGCTGGGTATTCAGTTCACTGATAAACAGTCTATCTAATGTCTCGCTGTACTGAAGGAGCAAGTACGCTGGGCACCTGTCCACCTTCCGTGTTCTCTTCCTGTTTGACTGCGTCCGAATACAGACAAATTTCACCTGCACATATCTAGGGAAGGTAGAGGTGACAATGAGAAGAGCGCCAGCTGCCCCCTTTTACTGACCAGTATGTTTCTTTAGAGACCACAAGGTAGCAGAGAATAAAAGGAAGAACATTTTATGGTAACTCCCTAGCCCCAACGTTTTGAGCTCCCTCCCTCAAGACTATCTCTATTACAACACTCCTCAGTTTCCTCCACACAGTTCTAAGGCCAACTTATTTGTGAGCTTGGGGACTGGCATTGAACTCATGACATAGTCCAGGCTGGCCTTGAACTTGCTGCAACCTTCCTGGTGAAGCTTTTCATGGGCTGGGGTTATAGAGGTGAGTTATTTACTTGGCCTAAAGGGCCATTTTTTTTCATTCTGTCTGTGCCATTTATGGCTTCCAACAATACAATCTGAGGTAGGATGTAAGGAGAAGCTGACACAGCAGAATGCCTAGCTAATTTCTCCTGTTTAAATGACCCCCATGCCTATAATCCTAGCACCTGGGAGGCTATGGCAGAAAGGTTGGAAGATCCAGGGCAGTCTGGACTATGTGGCAAGGCCTTGTCTTAAAACAAACAAACAAACAAACAAAAAAAACCCAAACCCAAAAGTCCTCTTCATTCATTTGGGACACTACTGCCTCATCCCCCTTGACAGTAACATTCTGAGGACCAGTGATGTACACTGAGCTCTTCAGGGTCCCCCTGGGGAGAGTGCATGCCAGGGCTTATCTATAGAAGGGGAAATTTCTGGTTGTTCCTGTAAAGAGAATTATCCATACCCAGAGTTGCTTATATTTTGGTCTGTGGAGAGACTGAACCATAAGGAAGTCTGACCTCTGTAGCCTTGGTACTCTAGGTGGAAATGGATGATTCCAAGGGGATGGCTACCAGGTTATTTGCTGTTTTTCTTATTTCAACTCCTGGGTTCAAGGCCCAGTCAAATCCTCCCTTCTCTTCTCAGCCTTTATGGTTGAACCCAAGCCACAGTAATTAATCCTGAATCCAAATTTACTATATCCAACTAAAAGGTCTTACAGACCTGTAGGTATCCATACAACTAGAGGTGTGTGTGTGTGTGTGGGGGGGGGCACTGGAGGCTGAGTCAATGGGAAGCTGTTTAACCGTGGGCAAGTCACTTCACCTCTGTGGATACAGTACGGCCATTATAAAATGAGACAACCTCATTAGGGTTATCATAAAGACTAAATGAACCACAGATGAAATATTTAGCCCAGAGCCTGCCCTGGCCTTTTGTTTGAAATTAGAGCTAAGCCAGCTGCTTTTCTAGCTCGCATGCCGGGGGAACATTCCCAGTGCCAGGACCAAACCATTCCTCAGAGTATTCCTAGCACCTAACACAATGCTGCTCCTTCAGCAGATGCTTATCAGGGGTATAACAGGTGAATGAATCATGGACCACCAGTGGGTGGGATGGGTCACACCCCTGCCTCCTCAGGGAGTGGCCCAGCTGTAAAACCAAGGGAGAGGGGAAAAAATCTCAGCCTCTAGCATAACATGGTACAGCTTGGGAGCTCCACCTATACTTTTCCAAACACCCCCATCCAGCTGGTCCAGTTTGCCCACCCTGTGGGGCAAGCTTAGGAAAACAGGATATGTCGGTCTTATGATAACAGGGTGGAGGGGCCTGGGGCTGAGAATGTCTGCATCTGTTGTGAGCACAGTGCAGGGGTGGTGCCATCTCTAGTTTTGGTCTGGAAGGGAGTGGAGCAGTCCAGTAGAATGGCAAGGCCAGCAGGTGAGCACCACTGAACCTTAGTTTCCCACCCTTCTCTACCTTGTTTGTGTCTTAGAATGACAAACTGCCCACAGCTTCCTGTGTCCACTAAGAAGTGTCTCCTGGCAGCTGTTTACGCTTGTACCTCTCTTTGAATGCCTCTCTGACCTTTCATCTCAAAGTTTAGTCATCATTTGGGATACATGGAGCCATCATCTTTTTTAGACAGCTGGACCCTACCCTTCTTCTAGCTCAATATTTTAGCCTAACTCTAGTTATTGGATTATATTGACTTGCCATGTATTTAGTGATGGTTTGGGGGAGCCAACCACTGACAACCACAAAGCTCATTTTACTATTTCCGGCTCTATTAGCATATGCAGCCAGCTAGGGTGGAGTCCTGGGCATTTTAAAAATTCTTCCTTCTTGTCCAGTTTCTCTCCTTTCCTTACTTCCAGTGTGTGTGTGTGTGTGTGTGTGTGTGTGTGTGGTGGGGGCAGAACAGGTCTCACTTCATGGCCATCTTCCTGCCTTATCCACCAAGTGCTGGGATTTCAGGTACCACCCTGTCCAGCATCTTCCTTCCTCCCTCCCTCCCTCTCTACCTCCCTCCCTTTTTTGTCATGCTAAGGATCAAACCCCGGGTGTGCACAGCCAGGCAGGTGCTCTGCTAGTGACTTGACTCCAGCCTGTATCTACTACGTGAACAGTCTTTGAAATGCTTTCCTACCATTGCTAAGTGACTGAAGACTATGTGCCAGGCAGCACTGAGGCCCTAATGTCTCACTTCACACTAGCAAGAATTCTAGTGTCTTCTCTGAGAATCCAGGATTTGCTCTTCCAGCTAACACTAGCACATCTGAGGTTTGAGCCAAGTTTGCATGTCTATAGCCTAACTAGTTACATTATTTTGCCCATTTTCCTTAAAAAATATTTCTGTCTCTGAGTTCCCTTTTTTGTCTTCCTCATTTGACCCTTACCACATTGGTTAGGTTAAAAAATTCCCTTATAGATAGATCTCTAAACAAGGGCCGGTGAGATGGCTCAACAAGTGAGGGTATCCAGAGACCTGAGTCTGATCCCACTAAAAGGTGGAGAGAACACACTTCACAGAGTTGTTCTCTGATCTCTACACATGTGTTGCCCCACCTTCCACACCAGTACCTAAAATAATTCAGTTAAGTATGGAAGCTCATGCCTGAAATCCCAGCACTTGGGAAACTGAGGTAGAAAAACTGACACTTGTTTGACACTAGCCTGGGCTACATAGGGAATTCTGTGCTAGTGTGGGCTAGAAAGCAAAACCCTGTTCTCAAAAAACAAAACAAAACTAAAACAAAACAATTGTCTAGGACTATAGTTCCGTGGTAGAACCCTTACCCCATAGTGTGAAACCCTAGGTTTAATCCCCATTACAGCCCAACACAAGAAACAAAACAATTTGTGCTTGTACCGAATATATGCCAACACTTCCCTTGTCACTAATTACCAAACAATCAATACAGTGTAATGACTATTTACAGAGTATGTAGTATTGTAAGTAATCTAGAAAGGAAAGTCTGAAGGGCGTATGTTCGTACTATATGCCATGTTATATAAGAGGCTGGAATATCCAGTGAGTTTGATGTATATGGGGCATACTGGAATCCACCTCCTGACACTGAGGAACAACCACAGATATATCTAACCCATGAACAATGAGCCAGTTTTATCCAGGTTGCCATTCCTCCCCAACATGACTCTGTGCTTAGAGTAGCTGTTGCCACTCTAGGCCAATTAAGGTAATGTTGTGAGGACTGGGCATGGACACTTGCCCAATTATGGAGAAAGAGTCATGATAGGAAGTCTGCAGGAAACCAAGGAAGTGTTTTCTCTTGGATGTGGCTTCTGCCTTTGTGTCATATGGGGAGCTATCCTGAATATCACAGGCTTGAGGATGTAGTACAGAGAGATGCAAGAAGCCTGGTCAGCAACACAATCACATTTGGAGGCCTACTCTGAGCTACTTATTAGCAACTCAAAAACCATTTTAATTTAGAGCCGTTAGTTAGTTGAAGACAAAAGGATCCAAAAACAGGGTGTGGTAGCACGTGACTATTTCCAGCACCCAGGGAACTGAAGCAGGAGAATCGTCAGGGCCATCTTGGGCTATGTAGTACATAAACAAAGAAACAACCCAACCCCCCTCCCTCGACACACACAACACAAAACCCAAAACTACTGTAGACATTTCATAGAAATTAATAGAAAACAAAACAAAAAACAACAATCTGAATGGAAGTTTACCTAAAAACTGAGACTACAGACAGGTGGTGGTGGTGCACACCTTTAGACCCCCAGCACGTGGGAGACAGAGGCAGGTGGATCTCTGAGTTTGAGGCCAATCTGGTCTACAGGGATAGTTCCAAGACAGTCAGGAATGTGACACAGAGACCCTGCCTTGAAAAAAACAACAAACAAACAAACAAACAAACAGAGACTTCTGAGCTGGGGCTGCAGAGGTGGATCGGTAGTCAAGAGCACTTGTTGCTCTTACAGAGGACCTGGTTTATTTCCTAACATCCACATGGTGGTTTACTACAATTACTAACTCCAGTTCCAGGGGATCTGATGCCCTCTTCTGACCTCTGTGGGCACCAAGCATGCACATGGTGCCCAAACATACATGCAGAAAAAAATCACTCACATACATAACATAAATAAGTATTTAAAAAATTTGAGACTACAGGAGATAGGGAGCTGGCTCAGTCAGTAAAGTGCAGGCATGAGGCCAAGTCTGATTCCTAGCACACTCATGCAAAACAAACAACAAAAAACCAAAACAAACAAACAAACAAACAACAAACAGAAAAACCCCTGCTGGGTATAGTTGTGTGTAATTCTAATGCTGGGGAGCTAGAGACATGAGCATCCCTGGGAGCTTGCCAGCTAGCCAGTCTAGCCAAATCACCGAACTTCAGGTTCAATGAGAGACCCTGTCTCAAAACAAACAAAATAAAATGGAGGATCAACCTGTAACCTCCACAATTAGCATCACATGAGTGTGTGTGTGCAAGCACACAGGCATAAGTGCACAGACACACATAGGCAAGGACATGTACAGATAAATATACACAAACAAGTATATACACATAAACTAAGACTACAAGGCACAGTGGTGCATGCCTGTAATTTAAACATTCTGGCATGTGAAGCAGGAGAAATGGAGTTGGATACGGAGCTGGCTCTTGTTTCGTGGCCAGGCGGCGGTGGTAAACACCTTTAATCCCATGACTGGGGCGG